CTCTACAGTATAATTTGATATGGTCCAATAAACGGTAGGCATATTTTGCCTTCTAAGTAAAGTTCGCGGGGATACTGTTTATTTTTGCATAGTGAATATAGACGTTCTATCGAAGCGAAAAATGGCTTTTACGATGATTTTTTGTTAGTGAAACGTTGTGTTCCCAAAAAGCACTTTAAAGTGTATAAAAATAAGTTACCCGGGCAATTGATTTCGACCAGTGATTTGGTTACGTTTTCTAGATTTTTCAATGTTCCAGCTGATCGCGTAACTTAACGTTTTAACCAATCATTTTAATAAATTTTAATGCTATTTAAGTAATGATAAATCTGTTTCCATAAGTTTCAACAATGTTTGTGCCTCGAGCGATAAAAAGACCTTCCTCAACTCCTGTCAAAACAAGTAAGAAAGTTAAAAATAACAGCGAAGAGGTTGAAGAACCTATTAAGGAATACTCTTGTCAACAACGAGAAGCATCGACTGGGGAACCAGCTTGTGTCGTTTGGTATGACTGAAACTGTTAATTGCGTGCCATTAAAGGAGTGCAAGGAATTGAATCCTTGCGAGATCAAAAGAAACTTTTAATTAACTGTATTCTTATTTATAGCGGAAAATATGGCGAATATATTTGCGACGAAACAGAACATGATGTCTGCAGCATAGAGTGTAAGAAAATAGATATAGAACGAACAAAGAAGATAACAAATAATACTCCTGAGCCTTTACCAAATGTTATTCAGCCGGTTCTCAAATATTCACATAATATCGCAGATACCACATTTGTTTCGGGGGATTTATCACAAATGCTCTTACAAGTTCCCTCAGATCTTTTTCATGCACAATTAACGGCTTATTTACCACATCCAGAAATTAAAGTTTTATCAAGTTTTCAAGTGCAATCAATTTTATTGAAAAATCAAATTATTGTACAGGGAAAAAATATTCCACGTCCTATTACTAAATTTGAACATTGTAAACTACCTCCAAAGATGGCCGATAACTTGCAACAAGTCGGATACCTACAACCAACAGAAATTCAAATGCAAGTAATTCCAACAGGTTTGGTTGGACGTGATATATTGGCAAGTGCTCAAACTGGATCTGGAAAGACCGCAGCCTTCTTAATACCAATAATCATACATACTTGGACAATATCACAATTTGTACACCTTTTTTCAATCGGTGAATTTGATTAGATATAGGCATACCACCAACTATAAGTGCTGTTTTCATGTTTTGTAAACCTGTGATCATTCTTTTTGCTAGTTCTTCGATTTGTGAACATAATTCTCTAGTTGGT